GAAGCGGGACCGGCCCGACAACTCCAAGAGATTCGACACGAACTCCAGGGTCTTGGCCAACGTCGGCTTCAAGTCGGGCAGGCACTACTGGGAGGTGGAGGTGGGGCCTTCAGATGGTTGGGCCTTCGGGGTGGCCAAGGAGTCGGTCAGGAGGAAAGGCCTGACTCAGTTCTCCCCAGAAGAAGGCATCTGGGCCCTGCAGCAGAATGGGGGTCGTTATTGGGCCGTCACCTCCCCCCAACGTACCCCCTTGGCCTTGGAGCAGAAGCTCAACAAGGTCAGGGTCTACCTGGATTATGAAGGAGAAGAAGTGTCCTTCTACGACGCCGACAACATGCAGCACATCTTCACCTTCAACGTGGCCTTCCAGGAGAAGGTTTTCCCCCTCTTTTCTGTCTGTTCCACCATCACCTACATCAAACTCTGCCCTTGAGGTTTCATGGAGGGCCTGGTCGTCCATGGTTCTTCTACTGGGAGGAGAGTGATGAGCACAAGAGACTCTTTGGACCTGGTTGGAGGACCTGGTTGGAGGACCTGGTTGTCCATGGTTCTTCTACTGGGAGGAGAGTGATGAGCACGAGAGACTCTTTGGACCTGGTTGGGTGCTAGAAGGTGATGGGTGGGCAACCAGGTTCTTCAGGTCAGCCTATAAGAGAGAACATCTCATGAAGCCAGAAGGTTGTTGGTCACCATCATCTCAAACCCTCCAGTGAGGAGGAAACCACCAGTTGGTTGGTTGGTGGCTCCAAATCTAGTGAAGAACCAAGTGGTTCTTCTTCTTCTGTGGGTCTAAAGGTCAAGGTTAGAGCTGGTGGGAAGTTCTGGTGTGAATCTTTCAGCTCTTCTTCCACCAGTGAGTGGAGAAGGAGACGTTGGGTGGGGTCATGTTGGGTGGGGTGACCTTGAGGTCACTGACTTGGAACAAGTTGAAGGTTCCTTCACTTTGGATCAATCTGACTGGAGTTGGGAGGTTGTAGGCATCTCAGGTGGCTTCCAGTTGGGGAAGAGTCTCCAGTTGGGAAGAGTCTCGAGTTGGGAAGGGAAGAGTCTCCAGTTGGGGAAGAAGAAGAGTCTCCAGTTGGGAAGAAGAAGAAGAGTCTCCAGTTGGGAAGAAGAAGAAGAGTTTCTAGTTGGGAAGAAGAAGAGTCTCCAGTTGGGAAGAGTCTCCAGCTGGGCAGGGAAGAGTCTCCAGTTGGGAAAGGAAGAGTCTCCAGTTGGGGAAGAAGAAGAGTCTCCAGTTGGGAAGAGTCTCCAGTTGAGAAGAGAAGAGTCTCCAGTTGAGAAGAAGAAGAGTCTCCAGTTGGGAAGAGTCTCCAGCTGGGCAGGGAAGAGTCTCCAGTTGGGAAAGGAAGAGTCTCCAGTTGGGGAAGAAGAAGAGTCTCCAGTTGGG